GCCGGCCACGCAGGAGCAGCTGGTGCAGGGGTCCACGGCCCAGCTTTCCCCGGAGGCCACCTCTCGGCCCCGGTGCTCACATGACTGGGCGGGAGCTGAGGGAACTTGGGGGGAGGGAGGGCAAAGGTCAGCTGCCCCTGCCTCACCCTGGGTCTCGGTGCTGCTCCCTCCATCACCCGGGCCGCACCTTGGCATCGTTCACAGCACCTGCCAGTGTCTCGCACCTTCACCCAGCCGTGTGGGCAGGAGAGGGCCTGGCACTCCTCAAGGCGGCACTCCACGCGGCCCCGCTGAGGACAGAGGCCACTGCTGTAGGGACTTCCGGTAGGACCCGGGGTCCCTGGTCACACTTCTGGGGGCTCAGTTCTGAGGCAGCAGCCCCTTCGCCCTGGAGCTGCTCCAGAAGAACCACCACTTCCTGTTCAGATGGGGCCTGAAGTCCAGCCCTCAGCTCCGTGCCCAGCACGGGGACGGGGACGCCTCTGCCCCCTCTCACCCAGAGGGGCGCCCTTTCCTAATTACCTCAAAGACACACCCCCATATGCATTGGCCCAGCGTCCTGAGGCTCCCCTCTTCTCTAAGGCCCCCCACCCCCACGCCTCACCCCCAGCTCACATGGCAGGTACAAGTAATGCAGGCGTTGCTGGGGTCCCGCCAGCTCTCTCCATCGGCCACTCTCCGGCCCTCGGCCTCCACCACACACTCTGATGGGAAATGAGGCTCGGGGAGCGCTGTCCTTCCAGCTGCACCCCTCCTCCCTGGAGCGCACCCTGAAGGCCCACAGCAGGGGGCCCCTCCCCCCACTTAGCACCCTGATGGTATTGATTTCTTCAACCACATGCAGGGGGCCTACTGGAGGGCAGACCCTGCACCGGGGATGTGGAGAGGGCTCTGGAAGCCGAAAGAGCCACAGGCAGAGCCGTCCTCGGGCCTGGCTGCCAGCTGGGCAGTGCAATACCCTGCCAGGGGCCTGTGGTACTGAGCCCACCGACGGGCCTCAGGCCAGGCCTTGACAATCCAGGCTTCATTCTCTGCCTCCCTCTGCCTCAACGTCTCTCCTCAACCCCAATGATAAGCCCTCCGTTTCTACAAAAGAACGAAGCCAGCATTTACCCCGGCACACAGGGCAGCAGCCCCCCGGGGGGGTATGGCGCTCTGAGGGGGGACAGCTGAGCTCAGGACAGGCCTGGTGAATGCAGAGCCAAGTCAGGTCCTGTGAAAGGGCATGAGAACACGGTGGGTAGAGAATGGCAGGGAGGGAGCCGGCTCTTCGCGGAATGTGACATTCAGGACGGTGGGCGAATGCGGGGTGAGTGGGAGATTCGGCCCCGCCCACAGAGGCGGTTCTTGGGGCTTTGGGAATCCCCAAGGCCGAGGGCTCACCTGGCACCGGCAGGTGTAGCAGGGGTCCAGCGGGACCAGCTCAGACCCCAGCAGGCCCTCCGTGCAGTTACTCAAGGCCTCTGTGTAGACAAGAATGCAACTGAGGCTAAAAGGGAGCAAGGGATGTAAGCCCAGGTGATCCCACTCACCCCCTCTATCCTCAGACCCACGTCCCCGGCCCTTGTCTCCAGGAAGGATAAATCCTTTCCCGCTGTTTCAGCAGAGAAAAGTTTGGACTTTTCTAGAGGAACTTTGCTAGGCTACTGGGGGAGGCGGGGGGGGGG